AAAAAAAAAAAAAAGAAAAAAAAACCCGGGCCAATTTTTTCGCCATAACTCAAGCCGATCTTTCGCGGATCCCGGCCGAGTCCGACCGCGCGGCCGGCGCCCGCCCGACTAATTCAGCCCCGGCTGATTCTGTAAATTTTTGCCGATGCACGCGCCGGCCCGCCGCGTCGTAAATTCCACGGGATTCAATTAACCGACGCGCGTCCCGCGCGTGCACTTGGCGCGCGAATTTCATCCGCGTCGTTAAGCAGTCGCGCGCACTCGCATCCGCGCGAAAATTCTCAGAGGAAAGTTCGAAAAGGAAAGATTGAAAAGAAAGAAACGTAAGAAAAGCAAAGAGAAAGGGAAGAGAACGAGAACGAGATTCGTCGTTTCACTCGTTGAGCCAAACAGCCGAGATTTTAACCATCCGTGACGCTTAGCGTTGATTCCAGTCGATTGGCAACTGATCCTCATCATCGGTGGATTGGTCGTCTGCGTGATCCTGATTGGCGTGATCATTATACTCATTCTACAGTGCCGCGACCGCATCAAACAGCCACGGCCGAGGACCGCCCAGACCCAGGAGACTGATATGCGTGAGTGGAATACCATGTTCGAATGAATTATAACCGGCTGTTAGTCACGCCGCTGTTTTCTCATTGTTTTTTTTTTTTCTTCTCTTTTTATTTGCACCCTTCTTCGTGACTCGCGATTTCGTCACTTCCAACCGCGAATTCTTTCCGCAAAGACACACGAAGCATTATCGTTGATCTGTCGTCAACGACGCGGAAAAGCGATAGAAACATAACCGCCATCGCGGATGAGGAATAGCTCATTGAATGCAAACGAGTTGGATAAGTTCCGCGCCGGTGTTCGAAACGGCTTGGGTGGAGTCGACGCGCGACAACATTCAGTCGGTCGTTCGCCGCCTTTCTAAACCGTTTGTTCATCGCCGATCTAGCCGATTCTTTTCTCCGATCGATTACACGCTTTGTAGTTTCGCAACGAAGTTATCCATCCAGTGGCAGACAGACAGAAGTACTTGTACCTGGTATCGTAACGCTTGGCACCGATTGTTCGAGTATTTTCCCCGATCGACTCCACCTATTTGATTATTCATCGATTGCAAGCCGCGACAGATACAGAAGGGACGGAAGAGAAGGGAAAGTGAACGCGGCTTTCGCCTGGAATCTCGCGTTGTGTTGTTGCTTGGTGGTGATGTGGTGTGGTGTGCTGATCTCTTTGAAATTTCTTTCGTCGACAGAGGAGACAGATTCAAACGCGGACAGATATCGAGAGAGCGACAGGAGTAGCAACCTGTCGGACGTCAAAGCGGATATACGGGCGGGATCGAGTGTCAGCAACGCAGAGAGCGTGACAGCGCTCGACAGCGAAGGCGAAGGAAGCACGAGAGGTGTGAACGCTTTGGCGCTGGCTGGCCCTGTACCCAATCCCCTGGGTTATCGTTACAGCGCCGATTACACGGAACCTTCATTCCCGCCGAAGAACAACGTAAGTACCAGGCTAGATCTGTAAACCTGCTGCACTCTTCCTCCTCGTCTCGCGTTCGAACGCTACGAATCGCGTATGCACCACCGACAAAATTTCTCTGTTCGCAATCTCGCGCAACTCGTTTCGCACTCGAGCGGTAGGATGCCAAGAGCCGGAGCCCGAGCTTAATCTAGTTTATTGCGCGGGGAAGCAGCGAGCAGCCAGCAGTGCATATTAAAGCGTAGAATCTCTCTCCGGGAGGACGTGCACTCTCCGGAGAGTGCAGATCGCGTAGATTTAATTTGCAGTTTTTTAAGAATCTTCTCCGCCGCCGCCGATATCTTCGCTGCGTGGAGGAACATTTGGAATTCGACCGACGTCCCGGACGACTTCCGATCCGGCAGCGAAGGACCCTAATTTTCGTACACACTGAACGAATTGTAACTCATTGAAAGCCGAGAGAGAACGTCGACCGGGTCGACGAACGTCTTGCGGGTCGATGCGGCCACCTCGGCGTCGCCAGCGTCGGCTTGAATTAATTTTATATGACGCGTTTCGTCTCTCGTCTCGGCGAGTCCGTGGGAAAGAACACGAAAGGACAGAGTATTTTTTCGATCGTTGGCCACCGCTCACCGCGATATATACGTATAAGGCGGTTTTGCAAACGAGCTGCGCTCTTGTTGAGAGTATTATACAGTGCGCGCTAACGTTTCCCCTTTCGTTTCGTCTGTTGCAGGACGGCAGTAACAACAATGGTTACGTGCCGTACGTAGACTACACCCGCGACTATATGCCGCCCACGACGCAGGGGGTTGGTGCGTCACGGGAATCCTTAAGCAGGATACCGTCTGGCGGTATACTAGCTTCAAAGAAGATCGGTCTGAGTTCTGCGAATTTGGGCACCTCGACTCCGCAAACCACCCCCGCGATCGACCCACGCTTCTCAGCAACGTACGGCAACCCCTACCTCAGGTAAACTTCTCAGGGATTTCGCTTCTGTGCCGCCTCTCACTCTCTGCCGCGCCGCGCGCCGACCCACCGCTATCAATGAAACTCGCGTCCCCCTGTGTCATCCAGCCCGCAATCTAGTTCGACGCTTTGGATAATAGAGGAAGCTTTGACCAACTGTAATTGTGTTTTGGCGCGGCAATCCTTACAACGGAGGCGCGCACGAATTGCGCCGAAGACGATCGAATTATAGCCGGCGAACGTGATATCCCGCGAATCGATCCCGGACGAAAGAGACGTACGTCCGAAAAATATGGAGTTTCAGCGAAGCGGGGGGCAATGACAAAAGGTGGCACCGCGACTATGCTCCGTGAACGTACGCGTACGCGTTAACATTGTAATATTTACGACGTATTGATCAACGGATTTGCCGCGCCGCGTGTGCAATCGTTTCCACGGATTAATTATATTTCGCGTAAATTATGAATCGTCTGTCTTGAATATTTATAACGGGTCGATTCGAACGTAAGCGGAAGGGGGGCCTGGCCCCGTTTAATATTAATCGAACAAATCCGCCGGTCCGTTCACCCCCTCCCTTTCCCCCCCCGCCCTGGCAACAATACCTCCGCACGAATCCCGTGACCGTACCGGCCGCTGTAATAATCGCGGCATTTTTCACGGTAATATCGATCACGCGATGAGAAATATTGTTTCTGAATGGTTTCTTTCACTCTGCCACAACAATAGAATGTCAGCGGCGGAGCAACTGAGACACGCGCCACACACGGCTGTGCCGGGAGTAACGCCAGCACCACCGCCCTACACGCAAGCAATGAGAATGAATAGCTTGAATACCTTGAACGGTGCTGGACCGCAGGTTAGTACAATGCCAGTGAATGTGTGTCAAATTCCGCAGACGGGAGTTACGACATCTCAGGTACATTCCAACGCTCACCTGAACTAGTTTCCAGATCTTAGATCGAGATGTTGCGCGAGATAGTTGCGCAATCCGATCGATTCTGATCGCGATTCGATTGTCCGAGCGGTTTGATATCGGTTTGTAACTTTTTTTTTTTTTTTTTTTTTTTAACGTCACGCCGCTTAACTTTGTCATTCGAACGTTACGTTGCGTTACGACTGCGTTCACTCGTAGGGAAAGTCGAACAACGACGCGGTGAAGCTGGAAGGGCCAGCCACGCTGATTTTCCGTAATCCTTTTGACGATGTTGCAGGCACCACTTTCGGCGCACTACATCACGGGCGGGCCAAACGGCGGTGTAGCGACGGTGAAGCGCACTTCGGCGGTAGGGACGTTAGCGACGCACGTATGAGGCCAGGGGGTCTATCCGAACTAGAACCATCGACGTTCGGGTCTAACTGGTGCCGCCTTCGAGAACCGTCGAGCCATCGAATGGACTCGCCGCTCGAGCACGCTCAGGTCGCGTGAACAGTTTCTCGCCGAGAGTTTGGGGAATAGGGAGTACCATCCTTGCCACGGTCGCGTCGAATCGGAGGATCGTGACATCGTTCGAGGAGCTTTCGCGGTAGCGCGAGCGCCGGAAGTCGAACGATTGCTCGGTGACGGACGGGGGTCGAGGAGGGACGAGGCGAAGAAGTTCCGGGTGAAGGGACGTGCGCAACGAATGGCCGAGAACGGCGAAGCGTTGAGGTACATCGAGATGGTGTTGCGGCAACTGCGAAGGGCCAGCCGCGACCATCGGCAACTCGTGGAGCAGCGTCATCGGCTCGTGAGGCCGTTTTTCCCGGCGTCTTCTTCGACGATCGACGAGTACCATCCGAGCGGGCCGGCGGCCGTTCAAAGTTTCACGATTCCACGCGGGAAGAGCGGGGTGGAGCGGATCGTTCGTGACATCTCTCGGGACACGGTCGACCGGCTGCAAGTGGAAGTTGAGACGAGCGAGGAATCGCAAGAGCTTGCCGAGTATCCCGGCGTGGACGTTACGAAGAAACTGTCGGCGAAGAGGAAGACGTACGCGAGAGGCATTTACCTGCTGGAAACGATGCCCAGGAGGATTCACGAGAGGATGAGCGTGGCAGGCCGACAGGGTCTACGATACGTTCCTGCTTACGAAGGAATTGACACTACGATTATTCAATGAATATGCTACGAGGCTACTGGCAGAATACAACGCGGGGTAAACGCCGAACGCTCGAGAATTGCTGGAGAACACACAGGGAGTTTGAAAACAAGAAAAAACATGCTCGACCGATATGGAAAGATCGAACCGGTGAAGTAGATTTGTAAGGTTTGCTGGTCGATCTCGTGGAAAGAAGTGGATGTAAGGATCGAATTGATGGCGAACAACAACGGTAACGACCGGTCGAGCCTGTCACGTATCGGATTGATCAGCCTTGACTCAGCGTGTTGTTCCATTTAAGAAGACTGAACGGAGGAGTAAAAAAAGATTTCTTCGTCGACTCGGGAACACGGTGGTATCTTTCTCAATTCAACTTTGCACATCGAAGAGATTGGACTGAAAGGAAGGGCGTTGCCGTGAATGTCAAAGCAATACGTTCGACGTGATTCGATGGAAATCCACTACAAAAGAAAAGGAAAAAAAAAAATAGAAGAAGAAAAAAAAGAAAGAGGAGAGAGAGAGAGAGGAAACGATGAAAGTGGTGATAATTCGAGGATTAACGCGAGGAACGAAGGACGGTGGTTAGGTTCGTAAGTCGAAGGAGCTCTTCGGAACGAGAACAGACCACTCGGTATCGACAATCTTTTATTCGCATACTTATAGATCTCGATAAGCATTTAATGTTCATTCGAAACGTAACGAAAAAAAAAAAAGGAAAAAAAAGCAGAAGAAGAAGAAATGAGAATCGAATCTCATCGCGAATCGTTGTGGCCGTAGTAGCAGTCTCCTAAACGAGGAAAAGCGCCACGAAGTGAACAGGAGAATAACGAACATCGAATTAAAAATCGTGCTTCGTACGAATACGCGTTTTTTGAACATGTGATACGTAGACGGATGTCCAACGTCAGAGTGAACGACGTGTCGAACACGACGTGAGATCGTTAGATCGCGTCGGCAACAGACGGACGGGGCAAAACGTCTCGACTGCTACTTCGACGTCACGCTGTGTCGCGCTGCCTTTTTTCATTTGTAGGAAAAGAAATATGTATTAGGTTTCGCGCAGTATTCGCAAGTTGAGCGCGCTAAACGAAAGAAAACTACACTCTGGGACGGATCGTGCTGCTTGTCTGACAAGATCGATCGCGATCTCGTGTCTCCTTCCGGCCTGAGGATTTTCAATCGCGAGAAGAACGCGTGTTTTGAAAGCGATCCACGCGTTTCATGGGCCGACCTTTGTAAAATAGATAGCTAAAATGATTAGATATATATATATATATATATATACATATATAGATATATCACCTGTTGTCAATACGAACATAGGGCCTATAGTTTGGTGGCGCTACGAAAAAAACAAAACTCTATCGAAATAAGCTCGTTCTTACGAATGGGAACAGCTTCGTGTAAATAATATTATAACGATATTAACTGATAGACGATCGAGCGAAGGAAGCAACGTTAAATATAATTGGTCGCGCGTCTCCTTTCGAGGGAAGAAAATAAAGCGTGACTTAAAAGAAGCAAAAGAAGAAGCAGAAGAAGAAGAAGAAGAAGAAGAAGAGAAACAGGTCGAGAATTTTTCGTTCAATTACGCTCGTTATTAAGTTATCCTCGTTTTCCTTGAAAGTGTTTCGTTTGCAGTGTCTGTAGTTCATCGCACGAGGAGTTGTCAAGTCTTTCTCGGCGATGATCTACAGTCTCGAGTTAAAGTTAAAGGGTCCTCCAAGCTGAAAGAAAAATCACGACGGAAAGGCAAAAGAAACAGATGCATCGCTGACTGACGTCGCGATGACGTAGAGCGAGAGCAATTGATTATGATAACGAAACAGGGTAGCCTATCAATTATTAAAACGATTTCGACAGAAAAAGGCTGCATATTGTGGACTGTCCGCATACTCGGTGATCAACGGAATTAAAAAAAAAAAAAAAAAAGAAATAAAAGAAGAAGACGTGTAGAACTCGGGAAAACGTGTCGGTGACTGACGGATACGAATGAACGATGACGATGATCGTCGCGCATTCAGAGCTAGAAGAACGAATATACATTTGTATCGTCGAGAAGATATCTTTATATTGAGACGTCTGTAACATAATTTCTGTACATAACTGGAATTATTGCTCACCGTATCTCGTAAGATTTAGTTAGTTTTGTAACTGTGAAAAAAGAAAAGAGAATGAAAATATGAAATACTATGTGCATATCTGATACTGCGCGGACAGCTTCGCGACGGACAGTTCCCCTCGAAAGTTCTCGACCCTGTCGTCGTGCATCGGAAAAAAAAAAAAACAAAGAGAAAAAAGAAAAAGAGATCAGTATTCGTAAAATGTAAAGAAACACTTCCTTCCTATCGAGATCTTGTTCTCACATTCCACGATCGACCGCGATCGTGTCGCAGTCCGTCGTCAAGAAACGATCAGTTCCTCTGTTCACGCTCGAATCGTTTCGTCGAGGAGAACGCGGTCAAGCCGATACGAGATTATACAGTGTAGTATTATCGTACTCGTAAGTATCTTTCCTCTCGTCGTTCGACCGCCGCGTTCTTCTTGACGCGGCATCGACCAACCTTCGTCGACGGAGTCTCCCATTTCCGAGGGAGAGAGGAGGAGGGGAGAGGGGGAGGTTATGGAACTGTCCACCGGAAGTCCAGCTTATTGTACATCAATCATTCTGTACAATGTTCATCCTGATGTTACTGTTAACTATTTAAAAGAATGAAAGCGTACGCGAGTGAGTGTGAACGAGCATGGAAGCAAAAGAAAGGAAAAAAAAAAGAATAAAATAAAATAAAAAAGGAAGCGAGAGAAAGAGAGATAATTTTGAGATTTTCACGTTTAAATCGCGCAATCGAAGTCCTGCGCGCATGCACGCGTGCCTGAGGATCCGAGTCGGTATTTCGCGGCACGCGAGCTTGCGCACACGATCGCACACGTCACGTGTAAATGTATAAAAATGCTTGATGGAATTTCGAACTGTACAGGTTTAACGGGAAGAAGAGAGAAACAAAAGATACGAGAAAGAAAAAAGAAAACGGTACAGGTACACGTCACGGTGAAAAACGTTCGTTCGATCCGTGGAAATGAATCCGCGTACATTTACATACGGTAAGAGGCCATGTCGGAAAGAGAAAAAAGAAAAACTAGGAAAAGTGTGTGTGAGAGAGAGAGAGAGAGAGAGAGAGAGAGAATCTATACATACAAATACATGATTTCTATTATAAAAATATAGGTTAACGAAATACTGCGGGAAATAATTACAATCAATGTACTGGATGGTCCAGGGCGATGTTAAAATTAGAAAAGTTTATGTCGTTTGAACCTTAGGAGGTTGCGCCTTCTTGCCGCAGGGCCATCCTATACGTATTAATTGGTTATCTGTCAATTATTAATTAAATTATATCGATTTCTTCGCCTTTAGTCAAGGAAAGGAATGAGAGCCGACGCGGAGTTTCCTTCTTCGAGCGTCGCCGTACGATTTCGCCACGCGAGTGCTACGCAATCGAGATATCGCGCGCGAATCTCTTCTCCCGCGAATTTTCTGTTCGCTCGTTCCGGTCTAAGGAAGTTGGCGGGCAAGAGAGGGCATGGTCGATGTGACTTCGAATAGTTTATTTTTCTATAGTGCAATCATTTCGTTTCGTGCAATTTCCAACGTCGTTGTTTTTATTGAAAGGTTTATTCTCGCGACGCGCGCGAACTCGCGCCTCTCGACGACACTTTGAAACGTGCCGGCTGGATATCGACGGGGAAACTTGGCGCTCGGCTCGTGTGCGTACGTCACAGACGTATTATTATGTGTGTTAGAAAGCGCGATGTCGTTTAGGCAATTCACGAGTTCTTTGACGAACGGTTATGCATTCTTTAACTACGCGCGAGAACGAAAGAAAGTCAAAGAGGATAAGGAGAGAAAAGGAATGAAAAGAGGGAGAGAAAGAGAGAAAATATTGCCTAATAGGATGAACGAGGAAAGTTTTTCAAATTTGTTGATACATTTCATACTTTACGATTAGGAATTATGGCCTATTACTAACTATTTCGCAAACTTTATCCGACGACCCGACCGTTTTCACTATTCCACGCGACGGGGTTGAATGAGCCGCGGTGATTTAATCGAGAGTTCCCCATTTCGAGGAGCAAATGAAAGGAAAAGCAAGGACAAAAGGGTGAACGTTTTGATTCAATGAGATGCGCCGTATTCATCGTATAAATAACGTTTTAACGCTTTCGAATGTAAAGGTGAAAACTTATGAAAACGTACGGGGAAAAAAATTACAACAAAAAGCTATCGCTCCCCAAACGGGGCGGAGCGTGAATCACTCGCGCAAAGAGACCCCGGTATACTGGAGGAGGAGAAACGCGTACTTAAAAAACGATCGGGTCGTCCATCCATGCATTTGTGAAATGGAAAATGACTTTTTAGAAAATGAACACTTTTTCGCGTGCTATCTACGAAAGCTACGTTAAACACGTCGTATCGATTACCGAGTATAAAGAAAAAGAAAAGAAAAGAAAAGAAAAGAAAAGAAAAAAAAAGGCTATTTCGAATTCGACTGAGCGACATATAGGAAATACGATATATACCCCCATATTTTTCTCGATGTTAAAGCTTTTTTCTCAGAACGCGTTACGCGGCGTGTAATACTGCCTGCGAAAAAAAAAAAAAAAGGAATTCAAGCGAATCGTTGCGAATCTTTAAAAATTATCGGCGTATCGTTTGTATAGTATAACGGGGAGGATCCGATCGACTGCGTTGTCGCACGAGTATCGTAAGGGCGGTAGAAAGAAAGAGAGAAAGGGAAGAAAAGGAAAAGGAAAGGATGGATGGTCGTTTTGAAGAGACGCGAGCACTTCTGATTCAGACCGGCCATTCGTTCGATCAAAAACTCAACAGTCTGAAACATTTTTGACGAAACGACGTTTCTCCTCTTTTTTTTTTTTTTATTGGTTTACTGGTACGATAATTCTCGTGTTGTTGTTTGTGAACGAGAACGAAGGGAGAGTTATCACTCCGAAAAGAGCCCGTTACGTTTTTACAGAAAGAAATTTTTCAATGTACGCTGTGTGTAGTAATCTCGACCAATAACTTTTGATACGAACGCGCGAGGAATTTATTCGACTTTTGGTACGACTCGGATGACAGCGCTTGGGAACAATTTCACGAAAACGCACTTTTGTCACGACATTTTGTCCCCCCGATATAAAACCGTAACGGCAACTGACGAAGCAAGCTCTTTTGAGTCGGCGTTTCGATCCACACGTATCGAATTGACAGACCCTTGGACATTTGAACCACTTTTACAAATATACGATAGACTGTTTCACCCTTACATCTAAACAAACGAACAAAAATAAGAGAAGACTGTCAACGGCTCGTTCAAATTGTATCAAACGATCGCGGTGCATGGTAAATTCGCGTACGGAAGAGGTCGGCGCACGAGTCGCGTGACTCGCTCTCGAACAATCTCTCGTATCAAATGAGAAAGGGGGCGAGGGAGGGAAAAAAAAAAAAAAAGAAAGACACGACAGACTAGCTCGCGGTAATAATTAGGAGCGTGCGCGATATCAGCTAGAAAGATCATGCTGCGACAAACACGTTATTACCACTGTTTTTCTGTCGTCCGTTACTTCTTTGTTTTTCTTCTCTCGTTTCTGCCTCGCGCATCTGCTCCCACCGTCTACGAGGGCCCCCCTCGTCCGTTCGATTCGAACTTTACGTTACGTGTACAATTAAACGCGCACAATGGAATTTCAATTACGTTACGGAGATGCAACGGTGTTCTTGTAACGTTAACCAACTGGCTAACGAAGCTCGGCGAAAGTTTCCAACATCTCGTAGGAAAGCGTACATTCCGAGGCGAAGGCTCGCGCTTAATGCCCGTGCTAATTGCGCGGAACGATCGGCGAAACAACGACGGAAAAAGCAACGACAAGGGGAAACGGTAACGACGTGTGCAATGTTACACAATGTGTAACGCGAGGGATCGCGTGGCGCGAATGCCACATCGGGACGAAAAGTAAATTAACCGAACGAAGGGTAACTCGATCTGAAAGAAATACACACTACACAACTCGAAGGAAACTCTCGTAACGCGATTAAACGCAAGAACTTTTGTTGCGAGTCCGTTACATCCCTGACGTTATCGCGCATCGAATTGGCAAACTTCGCCAGCCGAACCCGTGCCACGAATGAAGTTCGCCGAAAATACTATTCCATGCTGACTATCCATCCTCCTCCTCCCTCCCCTCCACCCATCGTGTTTGATAACGAGTTATTATCGATCCGTTTACGCGCGTTCAGTAACCCGACATAGTCGTTCAACCGCAACCTTTTCTTTTTTTTTTTTTTTTTTTTCTAACTCGATCGATTTCTTTCAACAAACCAGCCGATTGTTTCGATCGAAACTGAACTGGTACTTAACTAAAAAAAGAAAAAGGAAAAAAGAATAGAGGGGAAAAAACGAAGCTACGTATACGTGTCTATAAAGAAAACATATCGCGTATGCAGCCGATACTCGGTACGTTGATATTTCGTCAACGAATCGGTCAGTATCGATGATCCTTTGACGAAACGAACGTGCATAAAACCGGAGACTGTAGAATAATTCGGAACGAAAGAAGGGTGAATAAACGAACACGTGTAAATATTTCAAACACTAGTAATTTGACTACGAACAGCAAATCATCCTTTTTAGTATACATTACTTTGTATCATAATAGCCTGACAAAACAAACAATTTAGCTAGACACTTTTTTGAGATCTCCTTACGAGAAGCAAAGGGAAAAAGGAAGAGAGTCGCTGTTTCTGGAGGGTTTTTTTTTTTTTTTTTTTTTGTGTTGACGATCGATCATCGATCTTACTGTCGCGCTGCCCGACCGTGAATTGAATCGCCGCGAATGCGGTACGGAAATCAAAGATTCGGCCGTCGTGAATTTCGTAGCTCCGTATTTCGCGATCAAGCGTTCTTATAGGATAGCAGGATAAGCCATATATACGCGGATCCTCGATGCACGAACGAATTGTTATCGTCACTTTGACGGCTAGTCGCATCCCTCTCCACGTTCTAATGCGAACCAGGTCAATTTGTCAGAAACGATACACACTTTTACATATATAGAGAGAAAACGAACAAAAAATAGATAAATTGCGCGCGAAAGATATATGCTTCGAAAATCACACAGAACTTCGATCGCAATTCGATTCAAAATTCCTCGCATGTACCTGTAGCGCAAACATTGGGCCCCGAGAGCGAAGCCCACGAGAAAAGACCATTCGTTATTCGCACAAGATCTTCCGTTAGTGAGAAAGAAATTTTAGTGAAAACAGGGAGAGAAAGAGAGAGAGCGAAAGAGAGAGAGAGAGTATTTTAGAGTGAAAGGGAGCGAGAGACTTAGAGATTTTTTTCCTTAAGAATCGAGAAACGTAACGCGAAAAAAGCTACCGAGTCTTACTCTTACTCGATATTGACAGTGTGCCAATGAAAAAAAAAAAAAATCTTTTATTCCGAATTTAGCTAACGCCTGTCGCATCTTCTCATTCCCCTTCGATTCCACTTCGTGAAACACATGCATACATACACACGCGCACGCACGATATAACCATAAGAATGTACAAGTACAAAGAAACAAAGAGGAAAAGAAAAGAAAATAAGAAGAAGCTTAGGAATTTTTCGATATTTTTCGCGTCGCGGCAGTCGATAGATATTAACGCGTGCCCTTATCACTTATGTACATGTATCCGATAAAACTGATATTGGAACTTTCGTGCTTTCCGCTCAGCCCACCCAATTCCCTCTTGCCACCATAAGTACACTCATCCTTTGATCGAATTTCGTGCGTTTTTCTTTCTTTTTTTTTTTTCTTCTTACTTTCATTTTTTCATTCTTCGCGTTTCTTTTTTTCTTGCCCCGAAGGACTAAATTTTACGATACGGGATACGTTCCTTTTCTTTCTTTCTTGCAACGTGAAGAAAACGAAAAAAGAAAAAAGAAAAGAAACGACAAGACCAAAGAGATGTTTATTTTAATGTTGTGTATATTAATTGAGTTTATGTCGTAGAAATTTGACGATGCATTTATCCATGTGTTACACCGAATGCTTTAATTTTTTCTCCTTCTTCTTTAATTATTATTATTATTATTATTATTATTATTATTATTATTATTATTATTATTAGCATAAGTATATATACTTATATATATATATATATATATATATATTGGAGTATGTTTTTTTTAGATAAGTATCCATCGTCTATTATCGTGATCGATCGGCGCAATCTTTCGTACTTGTAAGATGTACATTTTTGTTTACTTATCATCCATCAGACACCATTATAACAACAACGATTTTTATTATTATTATTATAATTATTTATAGTTCATTGATTTACATGCTAATTATTAAGCAGCCAGTGCCGTTTATTTTATACTTCTCGTAGAGTGTAATGTGTATCACTGCTGTTATCATATTTTATTAAATCTTTGCCATATAACAGCCCCCATAGTCTCTCACGTTTTCACCCTTCATTTCATGCAAGGCAATCTCGTTCCTCGTTTCTTGTCTGCATTCGCAATCCTTCTGTCGCTGCAATGCTTGCCTTTGCATCATCCCCTTCCTTGTATCTCCATACACCACAACCACGTCACAAAGTCAATCTCTGAAACGACGTCCCCGTGGGCTTTTTACGTTGTACCGCGTTTGCTTTAATTTTTTAACAAAAGACTAACCGAAAGTAAAGAAAGAAAAGGAATAAAAGCAAAAAAAAAAAAAAAAAAAATAGGGAGAGAG